GTCGAGCAAAACGTTAGAACCTCGCATAGCGTGGACCGGATTAAGTGTACAGGATTCTACTGCCGATTCTATGACTCTCCAATGGCGCTGCCTACGAACATCTTCTCAAACAGAGCTAATGCTGCAGGATAGACTGAAGGACAGCGATACTAGAGGCGCCGTTTGGAACGGTCTCCCCGCGTTGCCATCCGGCCACGCTCACGCGTGACTGTAACCAAACTACTTATGCGCGCCCTCTCATTCCGGCTTGCCGCAAAGCGTGTTTTGCTGGGATCATGGTATCGACGCCAGACTTCTTCGTGAAAGCTCTGAACGAATGGTATGAAGTTCATCGTGTCCCTCGAGCAGAGAGAGTTCATTGGGCAACTCTTGCACGTTGCAGGGACGAATGGAGACGTTACTGGCGCCCGCTCGAGGAACTCGATGATCAACGGGAGCACAGGTGATACAGGTGATGGTATCGACGCAAGTACTGCATCTAGAGGATAGCGCGGCGAAGTCAAAAACAGCACTCAGGTTCACTTACTCTTCAGCCTCATATGTGCGCACTCTCAAGTGCCGAAACTGTTACACTTGCTCGCATGGCAGACCGTCCTCGGAGGTGAAAGTACGGCTTGTCTTTAAGTCAGATCTAGTTATAAACCTTGCAGATGAGGTAGAAAAGTCCAGTGAAAACTCTTATTTCATCGTTAGCGCTTCTCCAGGACCCTTTTCAGAAAAATTATTGTATGAATTCTACCATGAGAAGTTTAGAAGGATACCTGTGCAGGTGTCACATCACCCTGCGAGAATGGTGGTGCAGGTGGCTGGCAATGAAGCACAGCTCGAAGTCCATCTTCAGCTGCAGGCGAGTTCAGCATTAACTGAACACAACACCAGACATAGTCCTGAAATCAAAGCTCACAAAAACCTTAATCGAATCCAATAGAACCAAATTTACCTTGAGGGACGCTACACAGTAGGCTGCACTGATCGCCTTTTGCAGAATGTCTAGCCGTACAGCAGGTGGAATTCCCTCTCGTACAACCGCTACCCAGAGCTGCAGCGCACGTACCAAATCGCCACTCGAGTAGTACACGTTGGCTTTCTGCAATGAATGAATTCACAATCTGCGGAATTCTACGAGAAATGGCGGCAAGGCGCAATAAATGAAAACGGGGCCTCGTTTTGTTCTGGAAATGTTGAAGAGATGTGAATAAGGGACGCGCATAAAATACATTTTTGGGTTGCTATCCAAAATAGCGGAAGGTCAACTTGGCACGACGTCAAGCTACATTCAGGAGAATGAAAGTTCGTAGGTAGCGTGGCCAGAAGTAGACGTGTATG